AGTTTAGTATCCCTGTTCTTTGACTTTTGTCTGCGATGCCTGGACAAGAATGTCGCTGGTCCTGCGTGGGCAGGGGCAGTACGAGGCGTCACCTCCTGGAAGACCGGGTGGTCCATCTCCGCCGGGTGTTCCATCACCGCCTTTCTCACCGTCTTTGCCTGGAGCCCCAGCAATGCCCGGTTGTCCTGGTGCTCCATCGTTTCCATTCTCTCCTGCGGCTCCGGCATCTCCTGCAACTCCCAGCATTCCTGGTGCTCCGGGTGCTCCAGGAGCTCCTTTGCCTCTGGTTCCCTTTGATCCGTCGGCTCCTGGAAGTCCGGGTGCTCCTGGTTCTCCTCGTTCGCCAGCATCTCCTGGCTCGCCTGAGATTCCAGGATTTCCGTTAGGTCCTGGTGGCCCATCGGCGCCGTTTTGGCCGTCGGGACCAGCTTCTCCGATGAGTCCATCTGGTCCTGGTGGTCCTGCTGGGCCGGGTGGGCACTGGATACATCTGAAAAAGGAATTTTGCACAAATTCTGTACAGGAAGATAAAGCCCTTGGAAAGCTGAATTAACTCACCCAACGGGTTCGTTTGGCATTCCAACCATTCCGATGCCTTTGTTTCCGTGAGGAGCAGGTTGACCAGGAGGTCCATCCTCTCCGGGTGCTCCGTTCTCTCCAGGGGGTCCGGGTTGTCCCACGGGACAGTTGTTTGGCTGCGCTCCACAGTTGCAGGAGCCGCCGGCGCCTCTTTTTTCTCTGGCGTACATCATCATGGACTCAAAACTTTCGAGTTCGAGACTGTCCGCTTTGCTGCTTCGAATCATCGTGTTCCAGGCGTCGTCCGCGAATTCCTAAATCAGATGGGTTCGTGGAGATTTTGGCCACATTTGGCCTTTCAAACTAACCTTGAACTCGCCCAAGTCGGTGACCGCATCGTCGTAGAACGAGTTGATGTCGCTAAGGAGTAGGCCGAAACAAATGATAGCTGCCGCGATAGCTATCCCGCTGGCGCCGGATGCGATCGTGACGAAGGTCTTTACGGACATTTCGCTCCCTCTTGAGCTGTTTGTGGGTCTCTTATATATCCCATATATGGCTATGCAAGTTTTTTCCTCCAGGACTTCGAGCGCGACGCTCAGCGCATAAAACTCGATAGCATGGCTATGATAGGGCATCGCTGTGGGGGATCCGGTGGATTATTCGGGAGTTAAGCGGCTGCGCGCTGAGGTGTTTGGTTTATGTTCTCACTGAGTTTATCACAGTCTTCTCTCTGAGTCTGTCTAGAAGCATGAAGCAATTTTGAGATGATTTCATCATGGAACGTTTTTGAAGAGGGGTTGAGATAACTAGATTAGGTCGTTCCTTCGACTGGCCGCTAGCAGAAGTTTTAGAACTTAAAGGCAGTGGACACAATGATCGAGGGGCGATGCGGTTTCGATGACGTCATCGATCGTCATTGCTGAACTGAAGCTCTCACCGCGCTGGAGGTGCGTGAGATTTTGACCAGCGCCTGTTTCCCTAAACGAATGAAGTTCACTGACAATGAGTTCATTGAAACCGCACACCCTACAGTCATCGGGATCACTGTCTTTAAGTTTCTGAGACGCGCTATTGGCAATGCCGTCTGGAAGAAGTGCTCAAGATTGTTCACTTGCCTCAGAGTCAGCTGGCGGTTCCAGGAGCATTAATATGTTCACGAGTGCCTCCTCAAACCCTCTCTTAGCCAAATTATTATTGAAGAGTGATCGTTTTGGTAAACCGCAACCATTTTTGTGCAGTAGCAGGTTAGCATTTGGGCTAAGTCCCGAGTTTTCGTGATCGAATCTTAATCGGATTGACGGATCACCGTCGCTCGCTGGGACTGATCTCGTGAAGGTTCGCGCGAGATCTTCGTCACCCTCGTTCGGATCGGATTCTTTTATCGCAGACACGTAGGGGATTATATTATGTGAACATTTTTACGATAGAATGTGGGTATGCGGTTTAGATTTGGCGTGGTAGGTGTTCTGTGACACGACAAAGCAAAAGAAGGTACTGAAAGCCCTAGACCACCTGTTCATTTATTTATATTTATTTATTTATTTAGAAATCCAAAGGTGTGCCACCTTAAAACTAAATTAGCAATTACGTAGGGATAAAATTTGGTTTATAAAACGTATGACGCGGCGGCTACCTGCGTGGCAGAGAAACACTAAATATTGGAAAGAACACATTACACTCATGGACACAAATTGGCTCTTAAAGGGAAAACATCAAAAACTTGAAAGCGAATCCAACCTAACAAAAACACAGAGACAGATCAGACCAGTCGTACCAGAATTACAATTCATAGTAAATTTCAAAAAAATTAACCCCGAATTGACTAATGGCTCCTTTATGGAATGACAAATGCAGCTTATCCTTATCAAATGTCTTGTTTTGATCCATGGTCATTGTATGAGTCTTCAGCGAATAATGTGTGAAAGGACGAGAGACTCCGACGAATAGGTGAGTGAGAGAATGTAGAGGCAAGAGAAGCGCAGCGGGGTGAGGTTAGAGGAGGTGGAGCAGGGTAGGGTTAGCGGCCGAATATAACGGTTTTAAGCCGCGTTCCTCTGCTGTGTTGACAAATATCACCTGCATTAATGTAGGCAAAACTTTCCAGTAGCTTGGCATTCTAAGAAATTATGGGGGCAGGTGCCTTTAAGTTTAGTCTGTAAGTCGGTTTTTTTCATGATAGCGGCTAACTAAGGATGTGGAGAGAGCTTTACTGACACCATGCGGTGAGCTACCTGAATTTTCTAAAAGAATTCAAACAGATCATGAAAAGTTATTGGTTTGGTGATCTCTTGATGGTTCAAAAACGTGCCAGAGTGAATGTGTTGGGCTTGGTCCACTAATCGTAGGGGTGACTCAACAGTGAGAAATTGTGCACGGCGTGCTCCGACAACGGCACTTTCAACCGGAGGCTCTCAACTACAGATAACACGTCTAAGGCAATATTTATTCATAGCACAAAATAATTGGTCCAGGGTTAAATTCATCAAGTGAAGTTTCCGGTAGCCGTTTTGGTCACCACTGTCCACAAGCCCAAAAGCTGGCGGACCGTATGCTCCCATCCTTGGAGGACATGGGCAGTACGCGGCATCTTCTCCCGGATCACCGACCTCACCAATGTAGCCAGGGATCCGGCTGCACCTGGAGTGCCAGCGTTTCCTTCTGGTCCCACAGATCCCTGTTG